TGTGGCCATAAGTTAAAAGAGTTGCAAGGGGGAAGGATCCTCATTAAATGACAAACATCCAAACAACCCAAGAAAGAGTTTGGGAGTAAAATTCCACTTAGGATGATAATAAATGTTATTTAGAAGCTAAAAGAGACCAGAAGTTTAAATTTATGTGGATCCTAAGTCTCAACCCTGGCAGAGATATCTTAAACAACTTCTTCTTCCTCTTCTTCTTCTTCTTCCTCCTCCCCCTCCTCCTCCTTCTTCTCCCCCTCCTCCTCTTTCTTCTCCCCCTCCTCCTCCTTCTTCTCCCCCTCCTCCTCCTTCTGTCATGGGGCTTGAACTCTGGGCCTGGGTGCTGTCCCTCAGCTCTTCAGATCAAGGCTAGCACTCTACCACTTGAGCCACAGTGCCACTTCCAGTTTGCTGAATGGTTTATTGGAGATAAGAGTCTCACCGACTTTCCTGCCTGGGCTGGCTTTGAACCTGGATCCTCAGATCTCAGCCTCCTGAGTAGCTAAGATTTACAGGCATGAGCTATGGGCACTGAGCTGTTTAAACTTCTTGTAATAAAAAAAAAAATCAAAAAACCAATTTCTGAATAAAAGAAATTCTGAGAGAAAATGTTTATTGCTGGCACTATGACTAGAGAATAGTTAAAGGATTTGTTATCAGTGTATGTAATTCAGAGAACATAGCCAATGTTTTGACTTGCAACCTTCCCAGCCTGACTTTTCCTTTTTTTTTTTTTGCCGGTTGGGGGCCTGAATTCTGGGCGTGGGCACTGTCCCTTAGCTCTTCAGCTCTACCACTTGAGCCACAGCACCACTTCTGGCTTTTTCTTGTTTATGTGGTGTTGAGAAATGGAACCCAGGGCCTCATGCATGCAAGGCAAACATTGTACCACTGAGCCACCTTCCCAGCCCCCTAACTTTTCCTTTTTTAAGCCTTTGAATTTTCTATGTGTTGCAGTATTCCAACATGATAAAGAAGATTGAATTCCAGCTCCAGTCTTTACATCTTTTTCCCCCTGAATATTATATTCATCTCTATGTTGTCTGAACGCAAGCTAGCATGATCTAATTGCCTAAGAATTTATTTCCAAATAGTTGTTGACAGAGTCTGAAAGTCTCAGAAAGATCAGACAGATCATATTCCTTCCCTAGGAATTTTTTATTAAGGAAATAAAAAAAACACCCCAAACTCTATGATCCCCAAAGAACTTTCTTTTGTGGCACCTGGGGTATTCAGTCAACCAACAGGCATTTCTTGGACATATGATAAACAGAAGAAGGACTCATCGTTGGAAGCTGAACAGAAAACAGATGCAGATAAATACTACGATTGCCAAGGTGGAACTGAATGAAGGCCTTGAAGCTGTATCTAGGCATTTGTATGGGATGAGGTGAATTTACTCAATAAAATGTCTCTGGAAAGATTAATGTAAAGCTGTTCTAAATTTCTGTGGGTTATTTGGACAAGAGCTTTGAGAGAAAAGAATGGAGACTTCACCAAAGGGTTGGAATACAGTGGGAGATGAGACTGGGAGAAGAGATTGGAGACACAGATCAAGATGGATTTGAGGATTGGGATATAGCTCAGTGGCAGAACACTTGCTTAGCATGCCCAAAGGCCTTGGGTTTAATCCCTGGTACCAGAGAAAGAGGTTGGGGTGGGGGGACGAAGAGACGGGGGGTGGGGGGAAGAAAGGGAAGGGGAGAGTTAGTTGAACAAACCAAGCTTCAAATCTGTTTGGGTTGGAGGAAATCTTTGCAAAAGGAAATATTTTTGAATCAGTATACTGCCTTTCAAATCAAAGCAGACTAGAAGGAATGAATCAGCTCCTCTACCCCCAAAGACTTTTCAATTTAGTGGCACTTAGAAAGCTGGACTCTTGTAGGGAGATGTGGGTTTAAAATCTTTCTCCACCTTCCAGGGCACCATTCAATCACCATCAAGACTGAAGGTCAACCAACTCTGTATTGGAGGAAAGACTAGACAGAGACTAGTGACTGACTAACTGACCAATGAATTGATTCATTTTGTTCGTTCAATAAGCACACAGTGAATAGCTTTTGATTTGAGAGAAAAGTAGGATTCAAGATAATGTCTATGGGCCTGGGAAATGATGGTAGGCAAGTACTCCTTTATTCAGCACAAGTTTCATAGCACAAGTTTGTCTCTCTTGTGGAAATTATTGAACGACTTTCAATGACTGTTGACCATGACACTGCTCTGTACCTGGCAGGGACTGTGCTAGGTGCCAGGGAGGGGACAGAAATTGTTTATAGTATTACATTGGCAATGGTAACAACGAACTTAAAGCCTCAATATTCCCTCTCCTGCTTCTTGCCTTTGCTTTGTTCAAAAAGAAACTATTTCTTCTGGAGCTGTGGCCAAATGTGTAGCAGGTAAACAAATTCACATTTGCTTTCTAGCTGTGCCAAACTAAAAGTCCCTATCACCTCACCCCTGCCCTCACCGGTTCAGAACTAAGATGCCCTTCCTTCCTTCCTTCCTTCCTTCCTTCTTTCCTTCCTTTCCAGACCTGGGCTCTGACCTTAACTTTTTCAGTCAAGGCTAGAGCTCTACCATTTGAGCTACATATCCACTAAGACTTTCACCAACTTTCCTGCCCCAGCTGGCTTCAAATCTCTATCCTTAGATCTCAGCCTCCTGAGGAGATAGGATTACAGGTGTGAGCCGCCAGAGCCTGGCTAGAACCCAGATATATATCTATATAGATATACTATATCTACATATCTATATCTGTATGATATACAATATATAAACATACAGATATATAATATGTCATATCTGTAAGGTCCATTCCTGGACAGCGAACAGACCTCGCCCAGTACCTGCGTTACCTAGGCAACTGGGACACCTGGAAGAGGTCACATCTGCATCTGTCACATCTTAATCTGATGTGGCCACACCTTTCTCCCACCTGATCCCAATTCCCTTTACCTGGACACACCCTTCCCCCCCCATATAAGGCCTAATCCGGGGCCAGATGGCCTCTTTTGCCAGCCTCGTGGAGTGCCAACCTTGCCTGGTCCCAGCAGGTCTACTGAATAAACCTACCCCTTACCTGAATACCACGTGCGTGGTGCAAACCTAACAATATCTGTATCTATTATCTCTCTGGATATATATATGTATATATATATATACAATACATATACATATATATATATATTTATATATATAGTGTGTATGTGTGCATGTGTCCTGGGGCTTGAACTCAGGGCCTGGGTGCTGTCTCTGAGTTTTTTTGCTCAAGGCTAGTGTTCTATCACTTGAGCTAGAGGTCCACTTCTGTCTTTTTTTTAGTAGTTAATTGGAGATAAGAGTCTCATTTTCTTCCCTGGGCTTGCTTTGAACCATAATCTAAAATCTCAGCCTCCTGAGTAACTAAGATTACAAGCTTTAGCCAAAATATTGGCTAGACACAAATTTGTTTGTTTTGTTTTTTGTCAGTCATCGGGCTTTAACTCTGGGCCTGGGTGCTGTCCCTGTGCTCTTCAGCTCAAGGCGAGTGCTCTAGTGCTTGAGCCACAGCGCCACTTCTGGTTTTCTAATGGTTTATTGGAGATAAGAGTCTCACGGACTTTCCTGCCCGGGCTGGCTTTGAACCGTGATCCTCAGATATGAGCCTCCTGAGTAGCTAGGATTACAGGTGTGAGCTACCAGTGCCTGGCTGGCCTAACATTTTTTTTTTTAAATATGGAACGCTTCACGAATTTGTGTGTCATCCTTGCGCAGGGGCCATGCTAACCTTCTCTGTATCGTTCCAGTTTTAATATATGTGCTGCTGAAGCGAGCACGACCCAACATATTTTTATGCCCACCTCCTGGTATAACCCAAATGGTGATGGAAATTCCTTTTTTTTTTTTTTTGTCAGTCCTGGGGCTTGAACTTGGGGACTGGACACTGTCCCTGAGCCACTTTTTTGCTCACTTGAGCCACAGTGCCACTTCCAGCTTTTGCTGTGATTAATTGGAGATAAGCATCTCACAGACTTTCCTGTTTGGACTGGCTTTGAACCATGATCCTCAGATCTCAACCTCCTTAGTAGCTAGGATTACAGGAGTTAACTACTGGTGCCCAGGCTGATGGAAATTCAGTTTACAATTTACGTTTTGGAAATCCATATATGAAGTGGGTACTACCATAGCAACAGACAGGGCTGTCCAATTCAGTGATCAGGGGAGGGGTCAGTCCTCGCACTTTAGATGAGGAACTGTGAGCACAAGAAGAAGGAGGGACTGACCCCACATCAGCAAGCGACCGGAGGACAAGTCAGGGCTACTCACATCTCCTTGCTCTGATTCCAAGTCCTATTAAGCCAGTCGTACGTGACTTAACCCACTCAGTGCTTGCAGCTTTTAATCTCCTTCATCAAGGGCCTGCTGGCCGCACCACTCATGCATGCACATATGATGGTTTCTGGGTGGTTGACACTCATCACCCTCTGACTTCATTTCTTTTTTTTCCTTTGCAAAATGGCTCTTGCCCAGAGCCAGCATCTCTCTTCCAAAAAGTTAGCATGCCAGAAGGGGTTTTGGAAACTGCTTTGCTATCTGTCAGGAGCCAGATGATTCACAGCCGTGAACCAACGCACATAACAAGGATACCTGATTTCATTACCAATTAGCCACCTCCACCTCTGCAGGGTGGTTGGAAAGAAGAGAAGATGCAGTGTTTAGTTTGGGCAAATACCAAAAGGGCTTTATCATCCTCATCAAGGCCTCAGCGTGGCACACTAGACTTCTTCCAAGCCCTTCTGCTGGAACTCCTGTCTCCAGATGCTTCAGCAAGAGGGAACTTGTTACTTGAACATAGGGTTATTGTGTCTGAATGACAGAGGCACCTCTGTGTCAGCGAGAGGCAAGAAGCCGGCTGCCTCGTGTCTGATTTTAATGATGTCTCTGCTGCTGGGAAAGTTTGGGAGCTGCAGGTAAATTCTTCCCCTTTGAAAACAAGGTTAATCCAAATGACTTATCTTACCTGCCCCCAGAGGAATTGCCTCTGTGTGCGTGGGCCTCGGGAGGGACAGGCAGCTGTTTTCTTCATTTGGATCCGACAAGTAGTTGGGATCTCTGGAATCTTCTTAAAAACAAGCAGAAGCATGGGCAGTGTTAGCCTTGGTGCAGGTGAGGGAGCTTAACCAGGACCTGGCTCCCCTCCTCTGAGTCAGCATGTACCCATAATGCTATGATCAGGTGCCTGCCAGGCCTGTTTCTGGGGTTTGGCAGAACAGAGCCATTGTTTAGGCCTTGTCCTCTATGCGGGGCAGCCATAAGCCTGGACTATGCTTTTTGGAGGAGAAGGGGGCAGTTTCCTGTACTGGGGTTTGAACTCAAGGCTTAGGCGGTATCTCTTAGCTTTTTTGCTCAAGGTGGGCACTCTACCATTTGAGCCACGGGTCCACTTCCAGCTTTTTGGTGGTTAGTTGGAGATAAGGAGTTTCATGATCTTTCTTTCCTGGGGTGGCTTCACACCATGATCCACAGATGTCAGCCTCCTGAGTAGCTAGCGCCACAGATGTGAGCCTCTGGAACCTGGCTGCACCAGGACTAAGTCTCCTTGAATTCAATTCCATCCTGACATGATTGACTTGGAGACAGTGTCAGATCCCACATGTCAGTGGATCCAGTCCACAAAACTACTCCCACTGGCTTGTTGCCAGTCCCAGTTTGTGGCTTGTGATTCTGAGTGACTATGTACACTGGAGTTTCCATGACTCCTTTCTTGTATTTAATCATTTGCTAGGACAGTTTACAGAACTCAGGGATACACTTAAGTTCACCAGTTTGATAAAAAGGGTATTGTAATGGATACACCAGATGACTAGGTGCACAGAGCAAGCAGCAGAAATCTGGGACTTTTCATGCCCTCTGGGTGTGTGACCCTTCTAGTACCTCAGTGGTCAAAAGCACAGAGGTCTTTAACACTCGTTGTTCAGGAATATTTATTTGTTTATTTGTTTGTTTATTTACTTATGCCAGTCCTGGGGCTTGAACTCAGGGCCTTGGTACTATCCCTGAGCATTTGTGCTATTGAGCCACAGCTCCATTTCCAGCTGTTTGTGGTAGTTAATTGGAGATAGGAATTCACAGACTTTCTTATCTAGGATTGGCTTTGAACTACAATCTTGAGATCTTAGCCTCCTGAGAAGCTAGGATTACAGGTGTGAGCCACTAGCACCTGGCTGTTCAGGAGTTTTTACAGAGCTTGACCTCTAACATCACTGTTGTCTATTTCTAGTTCCCGAATCACTTGGTCTTTCTGGTGACTGGCCCCATCCAGAGGTAATCGAGGGACCTTATCCTAAGTCATCTTATTAGTACAGACTCAGTTGCTATCTATTACTCTAGCAATTCCATGGGCCAAAGCCCAGGGACAAAGAGAAAACATATTTCACATTATAACACACTTACCTTCCACATCTTGAAGGTAAAAGGGCCAAAAGTATGACAGGCTACACACACACAGATACACACACACACACACCCCCTCCCAAGACACAACAGATATACTTACAAATACACACATACATATTACTCAGAAGTACACATAGTTAATTGTATGTACTCACAATATCCATGTATGTTGTCTCAAGGCAGGCTTGCACACCCCTGATATTATACTATGTGTATACATGTATACACATGTATCACAGATGCATCCTATTTGAATCAGATTTCCCCTTTATAAGGATGTCTAAGAATAAGAGAGAGAGAGAGAAAGAGAGAGAGAGAGAGAAAAAGAGAGAGAGAGAGAGAGAAAGAGAGAGAGAGAGAGAGAGAAAGAGAGAGAGGTTTGTCCTGGGGTGTGGGACCTCTAAAATTGCCCTTAGTGTTGATAGTTCAGTTCTTCAGGCTTGGTTCATTGACACCAGAATTAGAAGGGCCTGGCTGCCACACTGTGTAAGGAAATGGGGCTGAGAAAGAGAGGCTCCCAGCTTGAGGTGTTTTGGGGTGAGTGATAAAAAGATCAAGGAGAGGAATGGATTTGATTTTGACCATCTCAGCCTTGAAAAGAGCAGTTGTAAACACAGACTAGAGTTATTGATCTAGGTTTTTAATTTATGCACACAGGCATTCAACTATACATACTTTTGGGACAGAATGAGAGAAGAGGGCAGGGAGAGATTGATCGGCTGGCTCATGTAGAGGAATCTGGACCCCCGAGAACAGAAGCGGAGGACCAGCTATCTGCGGTCTTCTTGCCAGCTCTCGTTCCCACGCCCCTTTAGCAGGAGCTTCTCACAGCCCTGAGTGCGAGTCTTCTGTGAACAGAGATGCCTGTTTCTTCACACAATCGCTACCCCCACACTTGCCAGCTCCTTCATCTGTGCTCTTACTCCTAGCCGGGAGGAAGGGGCGAGGGCCTCCTCTGTGGAAGGAGGAGCAGCAGCAGCAGCTGGACTGTCTTCCCTCACAGTGGCCTGTCCAGATGTGCATGGCACCTCCAGAGGGATTTTCAGGTTCTTTTGTTTCATGGGCTACTTTCAGGTCAGATCAAAACCTCAGGCAGCTGGCTGCTAGTGCACTGTTCTTCTATTAGTGCTCTTGGGAAAGCATCTTGGTCCTTCCTGGACTAACATCTCCTTCAGGATGAGAACCCCCAAGCCACAGCGGGCATGGCTGTCCTGCCTCACCTTCCAATAGAGTGCAAGCATCCTTCCCTCCCAGAGAACAGGCCTTTGCTCTGCTCTGGGCTGCATAGTGACTTGCCTCCCTGCTGGCAGGTCCCTAGGTTCCAGGGATAGGCTCTGGCTTAGTGCAGTTTGTCTACTGAGTCCCCAAGGTGCAAAGGGAGCATTACTATATGCTGCTGCCAGGCTGAGGAAAGCACCAGACAGCCTGGCATTGCAGGTGGGTGCAGCAAACCCTCCAGACATGTACCAACTCTTTAGGAATATGCGCAGACTTTAATCCCACTGAAACATAGCCAGTTCCTTCTTTTCAATGAAGCACTTACATCATGGCTGCCGTGTACCCCCTGGCTATGAGCCACAGACAAGCCAATATGGGGGGGAAGGATTCCTTGCACCTGGGAATGATTACCTTGAGCTGCTGGCAGTGCCCCCCCATTCAAGGGACATGTGGGGATGTTGCAGTCTGATGTTCTGGGGCTGATCAGGTCCCCCTGGCTCTCTGGGCTTTTTTTTCCTTTGGTTGGGGGTAGAAGATCCAGCGGTGGGGTCACAGTCTGGGATAGGCCATCGTCATCTTCAAAAGCAAAAGGAGGAAAAAAAAAACATGAGGGAGAGAACTTGTTTTCCTCTTCCTGTGACAGTCTTTCTATGCAGCCTTGGCTGGCCTAGAATTCAGGATCCTCCTGCGTCAGTTTCCAGAGTGCTAGGATTACAGGAGTGAGCCACCATGCCTAGCCTGAGTGAGAAAACTTCTGAATCAGTATGAAAGAGAGAAAAATCTCTTTATTAACTCCACTGTTTGACCCTGGGTTCAAGGTGATGTTTTCTACTTGTTTTCCATTTTGTTCCTCTATTCCAGTCCTGCTAATCCCTGTCAATTTTCTGAGATGTGATAGATATTGTAGTTAGGAGAATATTCTTACTTTTGGAAGCTATATACTAATAGGAAATAAAACATTCAGTCTACAACGACCAGATGAAAGCAGGTAAATGCATATATGTACAGCGCTGGGTCTGGGAGATAAGTCTCCTGGACTTTCCTGCTTGGGCAGGCTTTGAACCAAGATCCTCAGATCTCAGCTTCCTCAGTAGCTAGGATTACCGGCCTGAGCCACCAGAGCTTTGTTATCACTTGACATTTATGATCTTGACATCTTGTACTTGCTGTTTACAAAGGAGGTTCAGTTTTCTGGACATAGATAACTTTCTAAATATGCCCTATTATTTCCAACCTAGTGAAAACACTTAAATATAAAATTAAAGACACTGATGTGTATAATAGTAAATGACCATATGATGTCATGAAACATTCAAGTAAAGTCTAAAAAATGAATACACATTCATAAACAGATTAGAAATGAAGTTTCATTGTTTAAGACAATGTTAACTATAGAGCATGCAGCAATATTTTGGTGAGTTTGGTGAAACTTCATACCTGCAAGCCAGGTATTATGGGAGATGATTTAGTAAGTAAGTAATTTACTAGCTAGATACTAAGTTAACTATTCCGAGACACTTTGGTTAAGGTAACTACTGCCTGAACAAGGTGGGTGGGATGCACTAACCTTCCTTCCAGCCTCCTTTTTCTTGGCTATGGGCCCTGCTATGTCTTGCCTTGCTTTCCTGCAGGGTAGGATTCCTGTGGGGTGCTTGAGGGAGGAAGGAACTACCTTGAGACAAGGGCACTGGGATGTGCACTGTTATCCCCGTTGGCCTTGCTAGTGGTGTATGCTTCAGAGGAGGCCTCCATAAAACCTTGGCCTCTTCCATTTCTGTTTCTGGCTCATGATATAGAGCACCTAGGAGACAAAAAGAAAGCCAAGCTGTAGTAGATGATTGTTGTTTATGCCCAGTGTCTCTTATTTTGGGGGACCTGCCTCTCTCCTGCTTAAATCATATGCCCATCCCCTAACTCCAGGGATGGCATTGTCATTGAACTTCAATAATGATAGTACATCAATATTTTATATAGTTTTTTTTTTTTTTGTCGGTCGTGGGGCTTGAACTCTGGGCCTGGGCGCTGTCCCTCAGCTCTTCAACTCAAGGCGAGCGCTCTACCACTTGAGCTACAGCGCCACTTCCTACATCAATATTTTAGATACAGTGATTGGTTCAAGGGTGGGCACATGACCCAAGCCCGGCCAATCAGAGGCAATTTTGGCACTTTGGCATGTGCTATTAAAATACATATCCTTTCTGCAAAGATTAGCAGGGAAAGGTTATTATGGACTTTTCTGGAAGACATCTTTATTACCACACAGTGAGAGCCTTCTAGAGAGGAGAATCCAACAGACCTGACAGCCAAGTGCTGGCCTTGGAGTTAGCTGATCTTTACATAGACTGACTTTCCTCCCTCTTTTCCTCTCTTCTTGTATTGCCTTCCTGCCTATCTTTCTCTTTATGGTTTTAGGTAGGGTTCCAACATTGGTAGCTGAAAAAGTCCACACTGATGTCCAAGGAAGGAAGAACTCCATGGCTCATTGTTTTTGTACTTATTCTTATTTTGCACTTGGCAGTATGTTGGCAAGTTCTCTGTATATAATGGCTTTTAGAATCTGGCTTGTGATGGCCCGGTCATTTTCCCAACCTTTCTGCCAGGGTTATCATGGAAAATAGTCAGATTCAACAATTCACTCTTGTGAGTAGTCTTGTCTTCTCTTTGTGTTAAGTATTTCTTTTTTGGGGTGGGGAGGTCTGGTCGTGGGGCCTGAACTCTGGGCCCGGGCGCTGTCCCTCAGCTCTTCAGCTCAAGGCTAGCACTCTACCACTTGAGCCACAGCGCCACTTCTGGCTTTTTTCTTTTTGTTTATGTGGTGTTGAGGAATCGAACCCAGGGCCTCAGGCATGCAAGGCAATCGCTCTACCACTGAGCCACCTTCCCAGCCCCATGTTAAGTATTTTTTTTTGCTTGACATTTTGACATCTAGGGGAACCTCTGTGGAGATGGTCTCGCCTAGGCCTAGCCAGTTCCTGGTGGAAGTAAATGACTGGCCTGTGAGTGCACAGGTCAATGCAACCCAGTGGATTCCGTGTCTTGAACTCCCTAGTCACCTCCATTTATGTATGTATGTATGTTGTCATAGGACTTGAACTCTGGGCTTGGGCACTTTCCTTCAGCTCAAGGCTAATGCTCTACCACTTGAGCCACAGAGCCACTCCTGGTATTCTGGTAGTTTATTGGAGATAAGAGTCTCATGGACATTCCTGCCCAGGCTGTCTTTGAACTGAGATCCTCAGATCTCAGCCTCCTGAGTAGCTAGGATTACAGGTATGAGCTACCTGAGCCAGGCTACCTCCTTTTATTGAGTGCTTATACTACTGGGTCACTATCCTGATCTAACCACTCCAGAGCCAGCACTAGACAACTAAGTACATCTCCTATACCCCAGTGACCACTGAGTTATTCAAACTAGTCAATCTGTGCCCATTCTCCCTGCTAAAAACACAAGACTCTTGACCATGGTCTGCTTCTGACTTCTGGCCCCTGAGGCTTCCTCACATGGTCCTGGGCTGCCATGCCCTGCCTTTGGAACCAGGAACCTCTAACCCTTTTCTTTTGTTTGTTGGTGGGGGGGGGATGGGGAGGAGTGTTGAACTCAGGGCCAGGGTGCTGTCCCTGAGCTCATTTGCTCAAGGATAGCACTCTACCACTTTAAGCTCCACTTCCAACTTTCTGGTGGCTCATTGGAAATAAGAGTCTCATAGATTTTTCTGCTCAGGCTGCCTTCAAACTAAGATCCTCAGATCTCAGCTTCCTGAGCAGCTAGGATTACAGGTCTAAGCCATCAGCACCTAGTCTCAAACTATATTTTTAGTGTAATTGTCTCCTGATCTTTGGTCTTATCACATCTGAACAATAACATCCTATATCTTAATACACTATATTGTCACTTTAAAGAACTGAGTAATTTTTTTTGGGGGGGGGTCTGGTCGTGGGGCCTGAACTCTGGGCTTGGGCGCTGTCCCTCAGCTCTTCAGCTCAAGGCTAGTGCTCTCCCACTTGAGCCACAGCTCTACTTCTGGCTTTTTTCTTTTTGCTTATGTGGTGCTGAGGAATCAAACCCAGGGCCTCATGCATGCAAGGCAAGCGCTCTACCACTGAGCCACCTTCCCAGCCCCCTGAGTAATTTTTTAAAAATAAAAAATCTACACATAGTGAAATACACAGATATTTTTGTTTGTTTTCTTGAGACAAAGTCTTATAAAATAACATAGGCTGGTCCTGAATTCACTATCCTCTAGCCTCTGCCTCTTCAGAGCTGGGGTTATAGACATGTACTACTATGCATGGCAAATACACAGATCTTAAGCATATAATTGAGTAAGTTTTGTTGCCTATTTTGTGTGGTTGAGGAGTATTTTTTTTGTTGTTTATTTTTTATAGGGTTTGAATTCAAGGCCTTGTGTTTGCTAGAAATGAACTTTGACAAATGTATCTATCCATATAATCAAGGTTTAGGCTTTTTTTTTTTTTTTTTGTCCTTGGCTTGAACCCTGAGCTTAGGCACTGTCCCTGAGCTCCTTTTGCTCAAGGCTTACACTCTACCGCTTGAGCAACAGTGCCATTTCTGGCTTTTTATGTGATTAATTAGAGATGGGTCTCATGGACTTTGCTGCCCACGGTGACTTCAAACCATGATCCCAGATCTCAGCCACCTAAGTAGCTAGGATTACAAATATATGAGCCCCCGAAGTTCCCCTGTGGTGCCTTCTGTTGGCTTTTATAGTCACCAGTTAGATTTCTCATTCCAAACAGCCTTGGATTCCCAGAACTCAAAAAAAAACTAAGAAAAGCTCATAGCTAGAAAGCCCAGATCCCCTCAAAACTGGAAGCACTGTTACTTCCCAGTAAAATTTCAGGAGCAAAAGCCTGTCTTGGACAGGAACGACATAGGAAAGCCAGAGAGCATTTCTCCTTCCACCAGCCTTTCATGCCTCAGTAGGAATTCATCGTTCCCTGGTCCATGCTCTCGAAGAATTTAGCTTAAAGGCACAAAAAATCTCTGCCCTGACAAGTGTTGTACAAGTCATCTGTTATATAATAACCTAGAAAGGACAAACTTTTTTCTTTTATTAAATGATGGTCTAAATACATGAGAATTCTTTTTACCTTGGGTATAGAAAACTCAGCTACAATGCAGTGGGCCTAGAGTTAGCTGATCTTTACTGGGCCTGGAGCTAGTTGATCTTTACTGGGCCTGGAGGTAGTAAGAACTTGAGCCCAGCATTTGGGAGGTTGAGATAGGAGGATGGTGAGTTTGAGGCCAAAAAACAGACCAACAAAATACCTGGATATTTTACTCAATGTAGATTTCCCCTTTCTAACTTCTGAATGCATCAGTTTCTTTTGCTCCTTTTATCCAAATTTTTCATTCTTAATTTCTATTCTAGTTATCTTGTTTTGTTCTGCAGTTATTTTTATAAGGTGCCTGAAAATTCTTTCTTTGTTTTCTTGGCAGTACTGAGAATTGAACTCAGGGCCTCACACTTGCTAAAGTGGTGTTAATAATTTGAGCTGTGCCTCCAGCTCCACTTTGTGTTGGGTTATTTTTGAGGTAGAATCTCATTTTATTCCTGGATCAGCCTGACCTGTAATCTCTCACTTGTGTTTTTCAGTGTTGCTGGGAATGACAGGCCTTTGTGGTTCTTCCCATAGCTGGGATAAGGGTGAACACTGCCTTACCCAGCCATTGGTTGAGATGGAACCTTTCAAACTTCTGTTCCGAGGCTGGCCTTGAATCACAGTTCTCCATTTCCACCTTCCAAGTAGCTAGGTTACAGGCTTGAGCTACCTATCCCCAATTCTTGCATCTTTATAACATCTATAATGCATTATTTATTTACTTATTTATAGATATGTCTCTCTTCCTGTCCTTTCACAGTTTAATAAGATGCATTGCTCAATGGAGGACTCAATAGATATTTTTAAAATGGAATTGAATATGGTAGAAAATATGTACTTCTAGATTTTACCCATGATCCTTCTCTTAAAAAAGACTCTGATGAAGATAATGCTGGAAACATGGCCTTGATTGGGCAGAGTGCTGGGATGGCAGGGCCCCAAATCTCAGTCCTTTCTCGTGTGCCTGAGTATCCATCCCCAGGGGACCTACCTCTTCTGCAGGCTTTTTCTTTTGGGGGGTGTTGAGTGTGGAAATGAAGCTCCATTGGGAAGATGAATAGCTCCGTTGGGGGTTCATTGGCTTTAAATTGGCATCTCAGGGGGTCAAGAACTCTGGATAGTTCTTTTGAGACTGGAGGTAATTTCAAAGTCTTTGGTGCCTGGAGAAAATTTAAACAAAAATAACATGGCAGGTATCCAAACCTTGCTGCCTGCAGGGACAGCAATATTGTATCTTATTGTGTTTCTTGCTTAGGACCTGCTGGGAAAAGTGAATCTAGCCAATTGGATGCTAGGTACCTGACTTCAGAGAGGCTGCTTCTATTGTCTCCTTGGAGCTGATGCATGCCCGGTTACTTCTGCCTCTGAGTCCTCTGAGGGTTATCAGCAATGCAAGTTTAAAGGCCTTTGAGAGGACAATCTCTCCACTGTGACTGGGGAAACAGATATGGGCCGAACTAATATAGCTGAGATTTCTATGTACTGAAAAGGAGAAATCTCTTCCATAGTGTTAAAGGAACAAGCAAGGCGCAAACCTTACTTTTCAGGTAAGAAGTCACAGAAAACAGGAAGATGCATTTCTGTCTGCTTACCTCATATATCCTGTTTAGGCCTCAATTTCTTCCTCTGTAAAATAGAGCAATCATACTAACTACCTTGTAAAGTTGTAATTAAATATGCATTCACACTAGTGTTTGGAAAAAGGACTCTTTCCATCTTCTTTCTCTTTCTTTCTTTTCTCTTTCTTTCTTCCTTTCTATGCTCCTTCGTTTGTTCATTCGTTCATTCGTTCGTTCGTTCGTTCCTTCCTTCCTTCTTTCTTTCCTTTCTTCCTTTCTTTGTGGTACTCTAAATGAAACTTAGGACTTTGAACATGCTAGGAAAGCACTCAGAACTCTTGAACTGCATCCTTAGCCTTGGGTTTCTGAGACAGGGTCTCACTTTATAGTTCCAACTGGCCTTGGACTTGCTAAGAAGCTCAGGATGGCCTTGAACCCATGATGGCCTTGCCCTCCCAAGTGGGGGGATTACAGGCATGTGCCACCACAGCTGGAATCTATGATATATATATATGTGTGTGTGTTTGTATGTATGTGTGTGTTTATATGTATATATGCTTTATTTATTTATGCATAGAGTAGACTCTCCTCTCATTACAGTTTAATACCCAGTGTGGTTCTTAGCAGAAAGTCTAAGCTTCCCCACACTTGTGTAATATGAACATAACTGAAAAAGAATCAGAGAGAGACAGAGTCAGAGAGAGACACAGAGAGAGAGAGGGGGGGAGGGAGAGAGAGATATGCAATATGGGCAATAGAGGTTCCTGTTTCCAATTATTCAGAAGCTGCTGAAAATTTCACTTTTAGTTTGTAACTTTTAGCATATGATCTTGGCTCTATGAAATATATTAGGTGCTGGATTTCAGAGAGTTCTATTTCACAGGAGGAAAAATGAAAACATTCTCATTTTTTTCAGTGCTCAAAAGAAGAAAAGTGATCAGAAACACACAGGCATCCTACATACTTAGTTGATTAAGGAAGGAAATTCTACTCAATTTATGCAGGGTCATATTTATAATTTTGAGACATTAAGAAAATGATTAACCAAACATAGGCACATAGGATCTTTATGTTCCTGGAGACCTTCCCTGTCCAGGTGCCGGCTGCCCACCAACTGCCCTTTCTTGAATACTGACCTTGTGCATTTTGTTAGACAAGGATTGCATTGAGAAATCTGTATGGAAACTCAAATTATTTGTGTGAGGTAGGGCTGACAAGTCAAAACTTAATTTCTTTATTCCAATTAGAAATTTACACAGAGTTTTAATGTAGTGGAAAATATTGCTTTCCTTTGTTGAGTGAATACATAGGTTGAGGGAAAGGACTCCTTTCCTCTGAGCCTGGCTCAGTGCTGGGTTGACCCAGTGTGAGATCAAGGGCTTTCTTAGACCTGCAGGGACAATGGTAGGCCAGGTCTGCCATTAACTTTTAGTCCAAAGGAAGCCGGGAAGACAAAGACCCTCTGGGGTGGATGAAAAAGTTTAGATAAGTTCAACCACAGGAAATCTGAGAAAATCCTGAACAGACTGAAAACAACATCCTTCCTTAGCACCAAGACCACCGTAGGTGCCCATGACCCACTCCAAATGGCATGGATCTTCACAATTAGTTAACAATCCACTCGTTCCCAATTGGAGCCAAGATATGTTCCTAAAAGTACATCATCTCTTCTCATCCTTTCTCCAGCCCTCAGAGGTTGGCATCATCATCTGGCACACGGATAAGGTCACTGTGGCTTAGTGCATGAGTGACCTGTTGATATTCACCACGCTGCTTCAGGGCAGAACATTCTGGAGCCCTTGTGTATTCTCATTCATTATTGATTGGTGCCTCCAAACCACAAAGATTTATCCAATTCAAGGCAGGACCAGATTAGAGACTGCCAAGGATATCTTTAAGGAAAAAGGTGTTCTTAATTTCTGAGGGGGAGTTGATAAATTTGCAACTTTGCCCTGCATTTTGCCAAGGTGAGAGACAGAGCTTCTATTGAACTGGATTCCTCACCAGCATTTTGAATTTGAAGTAGATCGATGGCTTTCAAGTTCAAAGTCTATCCTTACTTGTGTGTGTGTGTGTGTGTGTGTGTGTGCGTGTGTGCATGCATGCGTGTATGTGTGTGTGTGTGTGTTTGTGACTATTTTAAACCAACCCAGTCCCTTAACAGAACAAAGGATTCTGTTGAACCCAGAGAGAGTGTCATAATAGCATATGCTTTAAGATATAACTGAGAACAGATGAAATTCCTAGCATTTTATGATTTCCACCATTAAATGACTACAGCGCCATTCCAACTCCACCTGGTGAGCTCAGATGTTAGAGGAACTAAATCTTCTGTTGCGCTGCTATCCCTTTGAGTCTTGAGATTGGGATTGATGGCACACAGACATACATGTACACACACATACAGACACAGACATAGACACAGACACACAGACACAGACACACACAGACACACACCCACCTTGTTTTTCTTTGCGTCAGCAGGTGTGTTTTGTTCTAAGCCAGTGGCAGATGGTATAGGAGGGAAAAGACATCTTTCAGCAGGAGGCTCCTGTGACAAGTGGCCTCCTCTGGCCTGGCTGGGTTTCATGTTCCTTTGTTTGTCTGTAGAAATGAGAGCTTGTTAGCAGCAGCTATCGGGGAGAAGAGTGGATTTTCAACTTTTATCATTTTTTTCGCTGATGAAAGTAGTGAGGGAGAGTGCTGGGCACAAAGATGGCCATGGCTTTAGCCAAGGCACGATCAGGGCGCCAAAGTCTCAGTCTCCCATCCAGCTGGACTCTGTTTCTAAGGTGAGTTATTTTCTAAGTGACATTCGGCATGCTTGTGTTCTCAAGTAACTCAGAGGGATTAGACTTGCCCAGCCCAGGAAGGGAGACATTTGACTTCTTACCTCTGAGATCTGCCTTTCTACTGGGGAAGGCACCTCCATAAAATGTGATGTGGGATTTGTCACTCAGGAACTGAGAATGACCGATGCGGGCATGTCCAAGAGCCTTCCTGGAGCTTTGCTGTGCGCTTGCATTGTGGCTTTCCTCTGAAGCGTGAATACAAAGGTGATTCCCTGTTGATGTATCCTAGGGAACAACAGATGCACAGTCCTGTAAATAGGCCATCACAAAGGAACAGAACAACTTCCTGTAATAGTCAGCCCTTGTGGCTAGACTTGTGGACCCAAGGATGAAATTTCTTTTGCAAGCTGGGAAGACAAATAAGGTTATAATAGTAAGAGCTCTAATACTGTTTACTACTCTGAAACACTTTATTATTAGTGATAGACATATAACTATGTCTGAGTGTTTTCTTACCAATAAAATTGAAAAATCCGAAGACAGTGGTTGCATTATCATAAAATATCTCTCCTCTTCCTTTTTCTTTTCCTATTTTCCTTGGCATATGGCCTGCTTAACAAGCGAGTTTGTTCAAGACAGAAGCAGGTATTGTCTGTGTTGCTCTAAACACTTTTGCAACACACACAACACACATAACACACAACACACACAATACACACACAACACATACAACACAACACACACAACACACACACTACACACACACCACACGCATACACAACACACACAGCACACACAACACACATACACACACAACACACAAAACACACACATACACACACACACTCCTTAGAATTTAGAAACCTTTTTACATTGTAACTCATTTAATCCTGTAGTAGCCTTGTGAGATATGATTACAGTTTCATTTGGTAGAAGGGCTCAAAGTTGGAAAGTTTCTCAGACAGGTTTATTAGAACGAGTAAGCAGTGGACTCAAACTAAGTCTAAGGCCAAGAGATCTTTTTTTTTTCTTTTTTTCTCTTTCTGGACAAGCTACCACTGCCTACCACTGGGGGTAAGGAATCAGGATAGGGTCTGTCATTTTGTAATTTGCAAAAACCTGGAGTTAAACAGAATCAAGCTGGTAGTACCAACAGAAATGGTACCTCAGCCTTGGCTTCATCTTCTTGCCAGGGTTGCTTCCTGAGTGGTAGCAAGTGAGTCTCCTGACCGCCATGGTTCTGGGCTATAGAGCTGTGATCCATGTATTGATCAGCCCCAATGGCTTCTTCATCCAGGCCCTGTTGACCTGCAAAGGTGAACAGGGGATCAGTTGGACGAGGTGGCTGGGAAATGGGCATTGTGTTACCGTCACTCTCTCCACCCTTATTGCCACCCTTATTGCTTCTCTGAACAGCAACAATAATAAAAGATGGTCCCAGCCTTTGTTTCTCTTGCCTGCCCCCCTTTATTTCTATATTTCTGATAATGACTCTATGGAAATGGCAGGCCCTAGCTAGTTGGGCACAGAGCTGCTCAAGGAGTCAGGAGACTCAAGGTAGAAGCTTTGCTGCATGGGCACTGTTTCCTCATCTGTAAAATGGAGAGATTGAATTCTTGCTCTTGTTTCTGATGACGACAAGCCTGCATGCACTGTGAGGATGGTGGACAGTGGTGTGTGCCCCGCAGTTATCCTGCGCTGTTGTCATTGAGATATTCAGTCTGAAGCACGCTTTGGGGGTTCTTGGCCTCTACCAAAAATAGTGGAGGCTATCTGCTTCTTAGTTCTCTGGATTTACCCTACAAGCAGCCCTCAGGAAGGATCTGAGTCAACATGACTCCAGCATAGTTAACAAATCTTTCATCGATGGTTTAAAGGGTCCTGCAGCAATTTTCATCACTTACTCAAGGTAGATTTATTGCTGAAACAGTCTGGCAAAACTTCCTTGTTTGGAGCCAAGCTCCAGTCATACCTCTACTCCCAGCATGCAACTTGGTGAAACAAAGTAGAATTGTCTTTCAACCAGGGGCCCTGGATGCTTTCAGAGGTTCTATGTGATAGGGACCACTGGACTTGTGGGGTTCATTCTCCAACCAGCTCCTCCCCCCTCCCCCACCCCAGTCCCAGTTCCCTAATCCACCTTCCATCTAGGTCCCCTAGTCCTTGCCTGCCTTCCCCCTCCCATCTTTGGTGTCAGTGGGCTAAGAGTCAAATGTCCATTGTTTGGGGTGTTCCCTCCAGCCAGCTCTCTTTTGCTCATTGGCTCCTGAAGGTGGCTGTGGTTTGAAGTTGTGCCAGGAGTGTTGGTGAATGAGAGGCAGGCTGAGGCTTGGGTTCAGAAGTCTGCCTAGGCTTTAATAGTCCAGGAAGCCTCATGGGCCTTAGGGATTCATTCCTCATTAGTCTCATTTGCTTGTCCCCTGTACAGAGTGTAGCACCAAGGACCTTTTGTGCTTTTCTAGAATGATTCCTAGGTGTTAAGCTAGATTGTTGGTCCAACTTTCTTGGTCATGTTCACTTGGAACCAGATATACTTCCAGGGTTGGAAGAAGTGAAACTCCAGCCAAATGGCCACTTCCCTAACTGGCTTATACCTCAGAGTATCTAAGTTGGGCATGGGCATTGTGGGTAGGGGGCTTATGGGAGGTCATTATCTTTTGGCCATATCCCAGATGAGGTGAATATGTGGCTCAACCTATGTGAGAGTTATCAAGAAGTTTTTTTCTCTGTAAATATCATCATTTGGCTCCCCCCTCCCTTTCTCTCTCTTCATTGTTAGTCATGAGGCTTAAACTCAGGGACTGGGCACTGTCCCTGAATTGTTTTTGCTCAAGTCTGCTGCTCTACCACCTTGAATCACAGCACCACTTCCAGTTTTCTCTGGTTAACTGGAGATAAGAGTCTCATGGACTTTCTTACCAGGGCTGGCTTTGAACCATGATGCTCAGATCTCAGCCTCCTCAGTTGCTAAGATTATAGTTGTGAGCCACCAGCACCTGGCTCTTGGCTCATTATTTAAGCTTCATAGAAACAGGTTTGCAAGAAAAATACTGCAAGTTTCAGTTGTTGAAAGGAGAACAAAACTTAGCCTGTTTGTCCCTCAAAATATGGGTTCAGATCATTCAAATATATGGACTGGAGGTAACAATCTAGAACTTTTTCACCTCTGTTCTCACATGTAATTTCTTCCAACCCAGAGTAAGAAATAAAGATAACACTGCTCACATTTTACAGATGACTGAACAGAGGAGTCAAGGCACATAGTGACGTGGCCAGCATTTCATTGTTGGGGGAGCTGGGGCTGGTCAACAGGATGTTTGTTTCTTCAGATAAAGTGTTTGGTAAAGACAGGGAGGCTATGGGAAGATTAAGTTAAAACTATCCATCACAGCCGGGTGCCAGTGGCTCATGCCTGTAGTCCTAGCTACTCAGGAGGCTGAAATCTGAGGATTGGGATTCAAAGCCAGCACTGGCAGGAAAGTGTGTGACCTCTTATCTCCAATTAACCAGCAAAAAGCTGAAAGTATAGCGGTGGCTCAAGCGGTAGAGCATTAGCCTTGAGAACTAAAGCTCTGGGACAACACCCAGGCCTCGAGTTCAAGCAAAACAAGCAAAAATCCTATGCAACAGGGGCTGGGAAGGTGATTCAGTGGTAGAGCGCTTGCCTTGCATGCATGAGGCCCTGGGTTCGATTCCTCAGCACCACATAAGCAAAAAGAAAAAAAGCCGGAAGTGGCACTGTGGCTCAAGTGGTAGAGCTCTAGCCTTGAGCTGAAGAGCTGAGGGACAGCGCCCAGGCCCAGAGTTCAGGCCCATGACCAGACCCCTCCCCCCACAAAAAAATCCTATGCAACAGAGCTCAAGTTAGAGTCTCTGAGCTCCTTGACCTTCTTTGAAAGTAGATTTTCCTGGTCCCTATGATCATGGGCAATTGGGCATTGTAATTAGTAATTATATTTAAAAAACAAAAAGCTAGGGAGGTCTGTAATTAACATTTATTGAACATATACTATATGCCAGGTACATCATTAGCTTATTGAACTCCCACATACATCTCTGTGAAGTAAAAGTGGTATGCTCACCCCATTTTATGAATGAGGAAACCGAGGCCCAGAAAGATCACATGGTTTGGGATCCGGTGCTATAATGGTCACGTGTTTAATCCCTATTCGGTACTGTGTCACTGTTTTCCTTGATTGTATCAGCTCCTTGGTAGATGACATCACTTAGAGAAGTCACTGAGCCCTTGCAGTGCAGTTGACACCCCTAAACGGAAGCACCTCAATGCCTGTCCAGCATTTGGGGCCCTAGGGCATCACAGTCTAAGGACCTTAGCTGAAGACAGTACCAGTATGAGTTTTGAAGAGACAGCATAAAGCAATAGTGAGCTAGCATGTCACCTGGGGAGGTAGTAGGCCCGCATCCCTGTGACATGGGAGGGTGGCCCAGAAACTTGAGTTCATCATTGCCCTAAAATCAAGGGGTCTCAGTTTTGACCCACAGCAGCAAAATACATAAGACCCCTATGTGATAGACCAGAGGAGTCATTTACAATTGCCTAACCGCCCCTTTCATGTAGACAGGTATCTTTTTTTTTTTTGCCAGTCCTGAGGCTTGATCTCTGGGTCTGGGAGCTGTCCCTGAGCTTCTTTTGCTCAAGATTAGGGCTCTATCACATAAGCCAAAACACCACTTTTGGTTTTCTGGTGGTTAATTGGAGATAAGAATTTCATAGGCTTTCATGGCTTGGCTGGCTTAGAACCACAATCCTCAGATCTCAGCCTCTTGAGTAGCTAAGATTACAAGTGTGAGCTACCGGTGCCTGGCTTTAGCCAGGTATCCTTTAGCTCTGGTTATGACCAGAATGTCCAGGCACCAGTGTTGAGACCCAAGTGAGGTGAATAGTTGGGATATTTGATGGCGCTAGCTCTGAAAAACTGTCTTTTTTTCCAGGGCACGGCTTGATCTGTCTTTGCCATTGTTTCTGCAAAACTTCCTTTTTGTTTTGTTTTGTTTTGTTTTCCTACCAGTCCTAGGACTTAAACTCAGGGCCTGGGTACTGTCCCCAAGTTTCTTTTGTTCAAGGCTAGCACTCTACCACTTGATCCACAGTGCCACTTCCAGCTTTTTCTGTTTATGTAGTACTGAGGAATCGGACCCAGGGCTTCATGCATGCTAGGCAAGCATTCTACCACTAAGCCACCTTCTCAGCCCCAGAAAAATTCCTTTTTGATCTTAGAGAAATTATATTATATGCAACTCTTGTTCTTTCCTTTTCTCAAGAGCTCTGCTACTAGCCAAGATCCTGGTCTTTGTCCATTATTACTAGTTGGGTACCTTCCCTTCATCTCCTTTATCAAAGGCAACTGTTGGTTCTTTTAATAATTCGACTTCCTCCAAACACTATAGACAGGTAAAATCCCCACAGTCCAGAACAGCTCACAGACAGATCACAACCATTTCCTGTGCAGTGATGTCATAGATGTGAGTGTGCTCATTACAAAGATGAGTAAACAGAAGCTCAAAAGTGACCTGCTCAAAATCTGACATCTAGAGGCTGGGAATGTGGCTTAGTGGTAGAGCGCTTGCCTAGCATGCATGAAGCTCTGGGTTCGATTCCTCAGTACCACATAAACAGAAAAGGCCAGAAGTGGTGCTGTGGCTCAAGTGGTACAGGGCTAGCCTTGAGCACAGAGAAGCTCAGGGACAGAGCCCTTGCCCTGAGTTCAAGCACCAGGACTGGCAAAAAAAAAAAAAAATCTGACATCTAGTAAATGAGAAATCAGCCACGGCAATACACAGTTCTGACTCAAAGGCTGCTTTTTAAAAACATGTTATTACCATAAAAAAAAATCACAGGGTTAACGAATAGTAGAGTAGAACCTACCCAGGATATCATCTAAAAATCTATAGTCCAGACCTGTGCAATTCAATAAATAGCCACTGGCCACATGGAACTATTTATATGTAAATTGAGAAAAACTAAATGAAATAAGAAACTCTGCTTCATAATGTGGTAGCTACATTTTTTTTGGGGGGGGTACGGTCATGGGGCCTGAACTCTGGGCCTGGGCCCTGTCCCTCAGCTCTTCAGCTTAAGGCTAGCGTTCTACCACTTGAGCCACAGTGCCACTTCCGGCTTTTTTCTTTTTGCTTATGTGGTGCTGAGGAATCGAACCCAGGGCCTCATGCATGCAAAGCAAGCACTCTACCACTGAGCCACCTTCCCAGCCCATGGTAGCTACATTTCAAGTGCTTTCTACACTCAAGTGACTATTATATTGAATAGTACATAAAGAATATTCCATTACCTCCAACAGTGCTATGGACAGTACTGGACTAGCCAACCCTTTATTTTGCAGATGAGGACAACAAAATCTAGCATCTGTAGAACTTATTTTGAGAACTCCATTTTAAGGTGCTCAGAAAACCAAATACCTGAGACACTAGTCATCAAATCAACATGTACCTTGTTCCAAAGATTTTCCTTGTTGAATCCAAAATGGAGGGAGGACAGGCAGGAGGTGATATTTTGGGGGTATACTTGAAAGATCCTGTTGTGGCCTGCGATTCTTTGGCACAGTAAGTTGACTGTCCTGGAGCAGCACAGAATCCTTAATGTATCCTGAAGGGTAGGTCGGGAGTTATTGGTAGAAATGAGTTATTGGTAGCTTTCTGGAGATGACTACAAGTTCCCTCACTAATTTTGGCTTGGACAGACATTAAAGAAGATGAGAAGGATTTAAAAGGATAAAAAGTCAGATAGAGACCATGGAGGTTTCTCTATCCAAGGTCTTGCTTGAGTGCTTCTGGTCCTGTGTCCTGTGTGTGTTTCTTCCACTTCTTTATCTGCCCCCAAACAGGGACCTCAGTGGAATAAAAACCATGGCTGCTTCCTTGGAATTATGTAGCTGTTTATATTGTTTCAAGAGGAGAGATTCAACAGCAGTGGTTGTGTCCTGCTGGCTTTTTTTTGGTCAGTCATGGGGTTTGAACTCTTGACCTGGGCTCTGTCCCTCAGCTCTTCAGCTCAAGGCTAGCACTCTACCACTTGAGCCACAGCACCATTTCCAGTTTTCTGGTGGTTTATTGAAGATAAGAGTCTCACGGTCTTTCCTGCTTGGGCTGGCTTTGAACTGAGATCCTCAGGTCTCAGCCTCTTGAGTAGCTAGGATTACAGGCGTGAGCCACCAGCACCTGGCTCCTGCTGGCTTCTTTAGGCCCCATGATCAACAGTATTCTCAATGATCATTTCTTCAAGTATTTGTGGAAAGCTTAGCAATGGTCCTGCCCCCTGCTAGGCAGTAGGGCAGACACAGAGGAAGCGCATATGGCCCCTTTTACAGGCAAACATCATCTGTTGTAAAGCCAGAGCTCTCCTGGCTTAGCTGTGCATTGGTAAGATGTAAGGTCAGAAAATGAGAAATTGAGAGCTTCAATATTGTCTGAAGTTGTCAAAAAAAAAAAAGTCCTTGTAGAAGGCATGGACTTGAAGTACTGAGAGAGTGTATCATGACTTGGGAAATAAAGGGGCAGAGAACATCCTAGAATCATGAGATGTGAGAGGAGAGAGTGGTAGGGGCATAGGGCTAGAGTGCCTTCCCACCAATGTCACCAAAGTTCTTCCAGTTTGAGACGCTCCCTTCAAGGGGGGGCTTTGGCAAGGGGCTCATGAATCTAAGTGTTCTTTGTTTAGATCACATATTTAGCCATATGGTTCCCAGGGAGGGGCCAGGACCTTTGTTGTTGGTATTGTTGTTGTTGTTGTGTAGAGGGATCTCTAACCTTGAAGATGTAGGGCAGTGGTCTGTACCTCCTAGGCCCTACCCAATGATAAACACATTTCTGGTTAAGAGGCACTTTTCTCACAAGTGTTGAATAAACGCAACTGTCTGCACTCATGGACTTGTTATGGAATTGTAAAATGGAATTGTAAAATTGTAAAATGAATTGCCAGACAAGCCCACACCTCTCATTTTGCTTCAAGTTATTGAAGGGGAGAGAGATGTTATCTCTCCTTTCCCAGGGTAAACATATAAAGTAAAAAAAGAAAGCCAGTATTCCTTTGGTCTTCCCTGTTAGTTGGTGCTAAGGAAATGGCAAACATCAACGTGGGTACTAGCCCAGCTGGCCATCACCGCTCAACCACAATAAGCATGCCCAGTACATTTACATTTCAGATAAACAATGAATACTTTTAAAAGGAGATATAGTTGTGCTAAATATTGCAAGTTTTACGTGTATAGAGATGTGTGCACATATGCTAAATCTGGTAGTTCAAATCCCTGTTTCCTGTTTTCAAAGTCTTTGTAGAGTGAATTGGGGTTTTCCCATCTACAGAAGAATGTACTTCACACCTAAGGGGATTTTGTGGGAGAGCTACACATTTGCATTTTGTGCTAGAGTCTTCACATTTGCATTTCCTTGAAGATCTGAGATCACCTGAGACAGAGAGCTACTACTGAGTGTTGGGAAGAATGTGAGCTATGTTATTAGGGAAGATCTCATTTCTGGTCCCAGCTCTGCTTTTTGCTAAATGTCTTTGGACAACTATTTTGCTTCTTTGGAACTCACTCTCTCTCTCTCTTTTCTTCTTTTTTCTGAGTTGGTACACTCTGAATCCTATGAATGGGGAAGATTGGGTAGAAGTTCTGGCTTGATGTGTGGTGTGGAGATTCTGAGTGTGAGGGTGTAAGTAAAGGTTAAGACTTCTGGCTGCCCTTCCTTCTGTAAATGTGGAGGAGAGAGGGTAAGGCAGGGTGTGGTGGAGGCCTGGAGCTACCAAGCTAGGGGACTTGGCTTTAATACAAAACTGGATTTGATATTTCTAGCAGAATGAGAGATGCTGGGCTTCACCCCTTCCTTCCCCTTCCCCACTGACCTGCATATTGGAGCCTGTAGAGGGTGTTGGGAGTCCATGTCCGCAAGAGCCCTCGCAGGTATCTCTTGGCTGAATACCCAGGCTGGATCTGCCGTTGTGCCTGGATCCCAGGCTGATTTCGGAAGTAGAGGTATGGTTGCCAGCCTCTGTCCTCTTCCCTCTGTGGGGACATCAGTCAGGAAACAGCACAGCTGCTGAACCTCCAAGCCTCTCACACTGGTTAGCACAATCCTCATCAGTAATCCAGAGATGCCCAGAAGGTGCCAGAAGGCACCCAAAACCAGATGCCTCCGCTAATATACATAAACCTGGAATCCACAGAGCAAAGCTGGGAGGAGTCCCTGCAGATTTTCAGTTGGAAGGGGAAGGAGAAATGATGAATACCAGACCCTATGTTGAGACAGAGCTCAGAAGAAAACCCATTACCAGGTCCAGCCTGAGGAAATCATGTTTTAGTCCCTCCCAAAATGTCTCTGTCCTGCAAAGGGAAAGCTGGTATGTAAATCAGCCTCTACACTGTGCTTAATACAGATAACGGGACAGACACACAGGTAGCCTGGCATTCTGAAACTATTTGGCTTGATTGCATTGCGTTTCAGCTAGCAGAGTTTTCTGGGAACCTTTCTGGCAAAGTCAGTTCTGCCATGCATGACTTTGTGAGGGAATAAATGTATAATGACATCATACACTTGAGTAGGAATTTATATCATACAAAGACCTTTTAGCCTCATTAAAATCTTAAAAGGTGGACTGAGTTAATACTTAAATGATACAGAAACTCTCAGGGTGATTGCTTAAGCACAGAATAGCAAACATGTGATACTTGTATTGATATCTCTGGCTTTGCCCCTTTGTCCATGGCAGGCATCACTAATCAATCATGGTATTCTTTATCTGATTGGATATAATCTCAGAATCCATTCTCCAATGTTTTTTGTGTGTATTGGCATCTGGACTCAAACACCTGCTCATGGCTGTTGCTTTATCACCGAGTTGTGCCTACAAGCCTATCTTTTTTTCTGGTTAATTGGAGATGGAGTCCTCAGTGGAAGGATTCAATGAGCTGAGCTATATAAAGTATATTCTCTATACTTGCACTAGGTGGTCAATAAACAAACTTCTATTTATCGTTTATTAGTCTGTCTCTGACCCTTCATTCTCCTACTGGGCTGGGAATGTGGCTTAGTGGTAGAGTGCTTGTCTAGCACTCATGAAGCCCTAGGTTGGATTCCTCAGTACCACATAAAGAGAAAAAGCTGGAAGTGGCTCAAGTGGTAGTGTTAGCCTTGAGCAAAAGAAGTTGAGGGACAGTGCCTATGCCCTGAGTTCAAGCCCCAGAACTGATTAAAAAAAAAAAAAAAAGCTTGTGACTGCATTGGGCCCATCCAGATAATCCATGATAATATCCTCAGTTGATCCCATCTGTCCCGACAGCAATGGGGCACATACCTGTAATTGCAGCACCCAAGATGCAGAGGTAAGAAAGTGAGAGTTCAAGGCCAGTCCTGAGCTACATAGCAAAACTCAGACTCAAAAAACCAAGAGCTAGGGATGTAACATATATAATTATATGCAGAAATAAACAGAACCTGAATCTAATTAAGGGACTACTTAGTAGGAGAAGGGGAAGATGGATGGGTAAAAGGAAGATAAAAGTGAACAAATTTGAGATACATTGCAAGTATATGTAGAACCTTAATGAAGCTGTTGATCAGTAGGGGTGGGGAGAACACAGAAAGAGAAACAGGTTATGTTTGGGTTGCTAATCACATGGCTTTTGGTTTGTTTGTTTGCTTGCTTTTTTGTTTTCAGAGCTAGGGATTGAATTCAGAGACTTCCACATGCTATGAATGTACCCTTACCACTGAGCTCAGAAGTCATAGATAGATGTTATTGGGGAAGGGGGTAGACAACTATTTTTGTGTGTGGGTGTGCTAGTCCTGGGGCTTGAACTCAGGGCCTGGGGACTGTCTCTAAGCTTTTTTTGTTCAAGGCTAGCATTCGATCACTTGAACCATAGTTCTTCTTTCAGCTTTTTGGTAGTTAATTGGAGATGAGTCGCACAAACTTTCCTGCCCAGCTAGCTTCAAATCATGATCCTCAGATCTCATCCTCCTGAGTAGCTAGGATTATAGACATGAGCCACCAGCACCCAACTGGGTCTTGCTTTTACATCTAGGCTACCGTTCTATGTCTTTTGATTGATAAGTTCAGACTATTAAAGTTTTAATGTTAATATCAAAAGGTATATCATATTTCCTTTGATACTTTGTTTTTTTTCTTATTTCAGCCTTGGGACTCTACTTATCTGGTAGGTTTATTTATTTATTTTTTTTTGTATTTTCCTGTTTGGGGTTTTCTTCTGTGCATAAGATTCCTTTAAGTATTTTTTACAGGCTCGTTTAGTATTTTAAGTTCCTTTAGCTTTTGTTTATCATGGATGGTTTTCATTTTTCCCTCAATTATAAAAAATAGGTTCACTAGACTAGGTTGGCAACTGTTCTTTCAGGGCTTATTTTTTTATTTTTGCCAGCCCTGGGGCTTGAACTCAGGGCCTGGCCACTGTCACTGAGATTCTTTTTGTTCAAGGCTAGCGCTCTGCTACTTGAGCCACAGTGCCACTTCCAGCTTTTTCTGTTATTGTGATGCTGAGGAATTGAACCCAGGGCTTCATGCATGCAAGGCAAGCACTCTATCAACTAAGCCACATTCCCAGCCCTCAGGGCTTGAATTTTATACCCTCTATATCCTCCCAATATTCAGTGTTTGTACTGACATATTTGCTGTTATTCTAATGGCTGTGCCATTGTAAGTCATGTTTATTTTCTTTTGCAGTTTTCAGTATTCTGTCTTTATTCTATAAAAATTATTTATGAGACAGCCAGTCTCCCAGGCTAGCTTTGAATAACTAGTCTCAAGTGATTTTTTTGAGCTTCCTGATTAGTTGGGACTATAAGCATTTCCCACTGAGCCTGGTTTAATAAAAAATTTTAAGAAAATGCTTGAAGCAACGCAACTGCCACTACCTTGTATGTATTGTGTACACACATTCAGCCATCACCCTGTCCTCCATAGGTATGTGTGATTAAAATGATGAGGATTGAGATGGGCGCCGGGGGCTCACGCCTGTAATCCTAGCTACTCAGGAGGCTGAGATCTGAGGATCATGGTTCAGAGCCAGCCCAGACAGGAAAGTCCGTGAGACTCTTCTTATCTCCAATTAACCACCAGAAAACTGGAGTGGCGCTGTGGCTCAAGTAGTAGAGCACACACCTTGAGCTGAAGAGCTAGGGACAGTGCCCAGGTCCAGAGTTCAAGACCCACGACCGAAAAAAAAATGTTGATGATGATAAAAAAAAAAGGCAGTCACCATCCCTGCTTTCTTTACACTTGCATAGCATATTAGTATAGTCCAGATCTTCTCAGACTGTTTTATATCAAGTGCTACTGGGACATAAATCTGTCTTTCTCATTAGCTCTCACACTCCTGTTAGTTACAGTTATGCTCTCTGCCTACCATAGTCTGGCAACTATCATGCTATCCAATGGCTGTAGAGAATCTGCTATATGTCAACAGTATTCTGGCACTGGCTGCTTAATAACCACACACTAGTCGTTAACTCCGTAGAATGGAAAAATCTAATAATTTAGTCTCTACATCCCTGTGATTCCCTGCCCTGTTTCCAGAGGTATTGGCTCCAGCTTGAAATCCTGCTCTTAGGAACAGGACTGGTGTTGGTGTGCTCTAGCAAAGAACAAATCTTAGAGCAGAAAATGACTACCTATGCAGTTATACCTATGCAGTTGTGACTGGAGACAGTCCTGGGGCTGTGTACCTAGAGAGAGGTAGGGGCAGGGTGAGAGGGGTGGACATGTGAGATCGCATCTGAAAGCCTGAAAAGACTTCTTCAGGCTCTACCTGGCTTTAATCAGCCTGGTATACACTCTGCATTCTCAGTCAGCCCCTTTCTCTGCAGGTCTCATTGCTAAGATTTTGTGCAAATGATACAATCATTGACATGCCAGACCATATAGAAGAAAAGCATGAATTAATTTAATTTTTCTCATTAATGCAATATTATAACAAGTCTTGATTCTTGATCAAATCATTTAGCATCAAAAGGTTTTTTTTTTTTTTATGCCAGTCCTAGGTGCTGTCCCTTAGCTTTTTCACGTTTTCTTTCAAGGCTTGAGACACAGCTTCATTTTCAGTTTTTTGGTAGTTAATTGGAGATAAGCATCTCATGGACTTTTCTATCCAAGTTGACTTCAAACTACAATCCTCAGTTCTCAATCTCTTGAGTAGGGAGGACTACAGACATGAGCCACAGTGCCCAAGTAAAAGCTTTTTCTTTGATAAGTCCAACTTACCTATTTTTTCCTTTTTTGCTTATATTTTCATATCATAACCAAGAAATTGTCAAATGCAATTTTGTGAAGCTTTTCTCCCAAGTTTTCTAAGATTTTTTTTTTGTTGTTGTTGTTGTTTTTGTTTTGGGTCTTGAACTCTGGGCCTGGGTGCTGTCCCTCAGCTCTTCAGCTCAAAGCTAGCACTCTACCACTTGAGCCACAGAGCTACTTCCAGTTTTCTGGTGGTTTATTGGAGATAAGAGTCTTACAGACTTTCCTGGCCAGGCTGGCTTTGAACTGAGATCCTCAGATCTTACCCTCCTGAGTAGTTAGGATTACAGGTGTGAGCCACCAGCCCCTGGCGAGTTAATTTTTTAAATAGTGTAAGGTAGGGACCCAACTTCTTTGGCATGTATACACACACACACACACACACACACACACACACACACACACACGCAATAAAAGGACATCAAAGGACTCTATTAGCTAGGCACTGGTGGCTCACACCTATAATCCTAGCTACCCAATAGGCTAAGATCTGAGGTTCACAGTTCAAAACCAGCTTGAGCAAGAAAGTCCATGATACTCTTATCTCCAATCAACCAACAGAATAGGCAATGGTGCTGTGGCTCAAAGTAGTAGAGCACTAGCTTTGAGCAAAAGAGCTCAGGAATAGTGTCCAGGCCCTGAGTTCAAGCCCTATGACCACCACTACCACCATCACCACCACCACCGACAACAAAAAGACACCATTAGCAGAGTGAAACAATAACCTTTACAATGGGGAGAAATACTTGTAAATTTTAG